TAAGCGAGCATTGGAGAATGAAAGGGGAAGGCATTGTGACCGTCCGCCACACGTCCGAACAGTTTAAGTCTGGTTTGTGGTAATAAAGGGACCAGAAAGTGTGCAATGCTTTCAGACATAAGGACAGAAAATCCAAGTTTCGAGAAACATTTCTCTTGGCAAATTTGTCGCATATCCTCATAGGCTCAGAAAACTCCTGATTTCGTTACGGATGCCCCTCTGGTCGCACTCCGCAAGGCAGGTTTGCCAGCTGTGTGCCTACTCAAAGCTCAAAAAGGAGATTGGGTGGGGATAATAGACTAGGGCAGGAGCCCTCCTCTTGAAAGTTGCTAGTCAACATGGCGAAAGATGTGCGACCAGGCGACTGTTAGGTGATGAACATCGTCCTATAATAAGCTTTTAGCATCCAAATTATCAGCTTCTTCCCAGCAAACTCGAAAAATTCCAAAAATAATTGTTTACCAAAATCCTTCCGAGCTTGTCCCCGAATACACAGTGACCAAATAGGGAAATACTAGTCTCTAAATTGCAGACGCACGACTATCAAATGAACAGGCTTATCAGCTAAATAGCATCTCCCTAAGAGGAGGGTAAGCACTAGCTAGATGTGGCAACTTTGCCTTTTGTTTGGACTGCTAGGCAAGGTTCGTGCCTGGAGGACTCTGCCAATCTTAAAAGCAGGGCAGCACGATGAGAGACCGATTTTTAGTTGGTATTTCGATCTCGCGAATGGATTGGTGTGCAGTGCTCATCTCACGATGGGCACTGACTATTTTGTGCACATCGATCGGACGGCATGCGCACTTGCGAGTGCCTCTTTTGCCACTGTTGGAATTCTGATTATACAGGCATTTTGCATGCTGCGGGGTCAAAATTGTTGCCTAGCATCCAACGATTTCTTTGAGCTGGCCAGTACCACTACTACAGGGTGTCCCAATAAAATGTATACACATTCTATATCATTTTAAACATGGTGTTTATTATAATTTTGGTATTTCAAAAATGAAAAAAATATTTAGAAGTATTATTTTACTAGCGCGGAAGCCCGGCTTCGCCTTGGCTTCCTTACCCATTGTTGTCC